GCAAAATAACTGCACAAAAAACATGGAAGAGAGTGTACTGACTAATAAATATAGCTCAACAAACAGTATTTATTACAGTTCCTACATCAGCAAATATCCTATCTTTTATACAACTGGTGCCAACTGCTTCTTTTATACAGCTGGTGTCATATGTGACACTCCAAATATAGAAACTTTCATATATCCCTGGAAAATTGCATTTTGTTCATGCTTGTTCAGAAGTTGATAGATGTGGGTTGAATTATGGTATGAAATGAAGTAGGAATTTTTCTTCAGTAATGTACCTGAATACTATTCCATGCTTCAGTATACCCCTGCTGTGCCACCTAACCCCGTGCGTACAGTCTGCGGATGGGACAACACCATTAGTGTGAATAGCCTACAAAGCCAGACCTGTTCAGCAGCCCCACAATGTGCTGTGCGCAGAAACCCTGAATCTGAAAATGTAAAATACATACTTTCTTGCTCACTGTAGAAAGAAATCTATAGTGTGTGTGAAGGAATGGATACGTTCACTTTACTTTTTGAGAAATTAAAAAAAGAAAAACAACAACATTCAAAACATGCACTTGACATTCAATGGTGTCTTGCTTCACACAGCACAAGCATATGCATTTAATTTCACAGGGACAGGAATGATCTATTTCGCTACCTACCTAGTTGAATATTTCATGGCAGGGCATCCTAAGGGCCATCTGCTGTTTCTACATCTTGTGGCTGAGCCCACTAAGCTGTCAATTAAGAATCCATGCCTGCTGCTGAGGACTGGAATTCTAAACACGATGCACTGCCATCTGCTGGATATCTGTCAAAATTACACTATATGGAGCAAGTACTCCACCGAGTCCGCTGAAAGAGGTTGGCAAGTGAATGGAAATAGCAGTGGAAGTGGTCTTTCTGTAAAAATACCAGCAGCTTATGTTATAGTCCTGGATAAATTTAGAACAAAAGTAGAAGAAGCAATCCCAGTTTTTGTGGGGTTTGAAAACAAAAGCCTTAATGTGGAATCAGTGATGTTTCTACTACACTGGAATGAAAGGAATTCACTGATTATCAAAGAAAAAGAAGACACCAGCTCTGCACCCAATAACCTCACAACTTCCCCAAGAGCTGCTTGTGTCAGATTTTTACATATGATTTGTACACTGTTTGACATCTAGCAACAAGCACAATGAAAGACTAGGAAGCTCAGGAAGGCTGTCAAATGTCTATGATGATAAAGATATTTCATGTATCCCTCATAACACCAGATTCAATTAATAACAGACAGACAGATGAGCAATGAACAAAGTATTGGACTCCAGTTAGGAGTTATAACACCAAATTAGTTAATTAATTAGTCAAGTGTTCCATATAGCTCATTTAGTTGCTATTTGTTAAAGTAGAGCCCCAGTATATTCAAAGCAAAGGAGCAGTTTAACCAATTAAAAAAAACAGAGTTTTTCCCTATAAAATATTCTCATTTTTAATCGCCTCTCCATGGATGTCTTAGCATCTGATAGTTCACATAAGAAAAGAAATATTTAATGTGCATGCTAATCCATGCCTTTAATCCCAGAGAAACCTAAGGCTTAGGCTGTGGCTTCTTTTAACTCTGAGATGAAGGGCTGGTACTTCAAACTCAAGATACACGCAGCGCTCACGAGTTGAGGGAGCTCCCAGAAGACACAGCTTAATTGTGAAAGAAGATTAAGAAAGAGGGGAGGAGCCCACAGCCCTCTTTACCAGGAGGGCTTCCCGGGGCTTCTGGGATTTGCGGGTCAGTGTGGAAATGTGGTTGTTGGTTTGGAATTTTGTCTAGATTCTATGTATTTCTCTCTTTCTTTCTCTAAATTGCTCTGTGAATTAATGCTTTTATTTCCTACAGACAGTATGTGCCTTGACCTACACGCTAAACTGCTCTAAAATCGCCTGCTGTTTTCTTCACATTTCAGATGGTTATTGTTAGTTATGTAAAGGACACGTTTGTTGTGAATTTCTTAAACAAGAAAGTGTAGGTCTGTACACTGAAATTTCCCCTTTTGTATGAAACAAAAGGAGAAATGGCAGTGAATATTATCATGCACATTTCTTCTGTGTTGAATGGTGCTTATATGGGTTTTCAGTTTCATGGCAGTTTGAGTCAATGCAGAAGCAAAAACTGAATATTTCATCTCTGTAGCTGGTAGAATATGAAGCCTTTTTATTTTAAATATTGTCATGCATGTGTCTTTAAACCAGTTAAACTGCTTAGTTCAAGGAACATTATAGGAGAAATCAAGAGAAGATAATCTGTACAGTTTATTAATGATCTCTAATGTAGTTCAGCATGAAGGTGCATATGGTGTGTTTACAAAAGCTAACGTTAAAAAAATAAACAAAAAAGCATAGACCCTTTTGTCCATTATTTCAAAAGTAGTTTTGCAGCCATTAAAGTTTCCTTTACTTAAGTAAACTGCCATCAGCCTGACAGATTTTGTTTCAATCTCGAACTGAAAACCTGCCACAGGAGGTACAGCTGTGACATCTGCCTTGCTCAGCCTGAGAGATTGCAGCGATTGCAGCTGAAGGTCCCTTTCCCCCTGCAAGTTTCTAGGTCATTGGGACTGAACTGCAAAATCGGGAGACTAAAGAGAAGGAGGGGAGGCATTAAGCATTGAGAACACAATTTCATTTTTTTAACTAATTCTAGAGTTTCTTATTCTAAACTAATTCTAAAATTTCTTAAATATGACAATATTGAGTTCATATTGTAATTTGTCTGAAGGTACAGTACATTGTCTCTACCGTTAATAAGAGACAGAAAGAGTCCTTGTCAGCCCTGGATAAAAGGTCTCTTGGGCAAGAATTACGGAATATATTATAGAAATTTGCTCGCTTATTTCCATTTCTACAAGCTATTTTCTGAATCAGTCAAAATCAGGGTATATATGAAACTAGAATACTGGTAAGTCTTGTTCCTTCGGCTTTTTCGCCTGGGCCAACACTAAATGTCTTCCTTCTGCAGCCCTGCAGCACAACAAATATAGCCCTAAACCCGAACTGACGTCTTGGTGTTCAAGGAGCCCATTGGGTTGACTTGGTCCATGCCTTAGAGGATTATAATACTTGAGTCAGGCCCACTTGTAGTCCTCTGTGTTCAAGGCTAAAAGCATTCCATTCCCATAAGCCCCAGAATGCATCTGGTCTCACTTTTCTGCCCAGAGCAGCACTAACAAAAATTGTGCACAGTACTCGAAATGAGTTCTTTCTAGTGTGTTCTGACGTTACATCCCCTGACTCAAATTATACTCTTTGAACTACAGTTATATTCTGTTCTCCTTTTTATTTCTTCTCTTTCTCCTAAGTAGACTAAAGTTTGTTTTTTTTTCTCATTTATATAACTTATTATACATTATTATGTAAGTAACGTTTTCATAAATGTGTGTACATATTCCCAGAAGGTTGAACGTCTTCGTCAACACCAGTTTTCCAGATATTATTTCATAACTTACAGGAGTATTTTGATTCTCGCTGACACACTTCACCGAGCCGTTTCTTTCTAAATTCTCACTTGCCCACACTTTGTTCAGTAAGCTGACAAGCTAAAAAAAATCAAACATGCCACCAGCAAGCGGAATCAACATGCGGAGAAAACTGGCCATTTAAACATCTACATTCCGAGGACCTACCCACCTAAGCTAAACCTCTGACAGAATCGTCTTTCCTCAGACACACAGACACGCTCTGTTTCCAGACAATAACCCAAGAATCCTGGCAAGCAAACCTCAGCCGTCTGTGGACGGAGCTGGAAGGAAGCTGAACTGGCAGTTCGCCATCACATCAACGGAGAACTTTCTCATCAAAGGGGGGGAATGACAATTTATGTGCAACCAGTTCCAGTTCTATTCAGCCCTTGTAAGTTTACTTCTAAAGTGTGCTGTGGGGTTGCTGCATTCACGTAGCGAAGTGAGATCATATTAAACTGGGTGGAACGGTGACCTGACACTGCTTCCATGCACCTCTAGCATCCTGAGTCTGGTCTGGTGCACCTTCTGTGTGGAGGCTGCATGTTCTTTCTGAGCCAGCATGGGTCTCCTCTGAGTTCAGGCTTCTCCCCATCTCCACGAACGTGCCACCCAGGTTAATCTGTGTGGTTAAGCTGTTCTAATTGACTGTGTCATATCGTGGTCCTGCCTGGTGCTGCGTGTGTGATAAAGCAGATGGGTGGATGTATCAGTGACACATTTCAATTCAACTTTCTGTTGTTCTAATGATCAGCACGCTGGACAGCAAAAGGCCAGGATTAGGTGTGATGTTTTGAATCAATAAAGGCGACCTTAAAAGGAAATCCTTTTCTTTAACCTTCCTATTTCGAGTTCCGCCGGACTGTTACTGCACTGAGGGCTTTGTGTTCAAAGACTGACAATATCTTAGGGTACTAGGAATGTAATATCTGCCTCAAAGAAATGGTGTAACTATAAACATTCAGTGCAGCAGTCAATTATTTACTGGATGTCGGTCTAATTGAATGCTCATTCCTTCTTAATGAATCCCAACATTGCATAAGCAAAGTGTGACACAACGGAACAAATGGTCTGTTTATTTCAGTCTGTTAGTGCTGGCCGGTGCTGTGCCTATGAGTGACACGTCTTAATTGTTTTCATTAAAAAAAAAACACTTTTGATATTCCCATACGGCTCTCCAGTGCACACAAGCAGCGCTTTGAGCGGATCCGTGCTAAGTGTCAATTTAACAAGCAGTAACTTGACAACACATGGTCGCTGCTGGCATTGAATAATTAAAAGCAGAATTTAATTCCCGACGAAGGGGGCAAGGAACAGAGCCGAGGCGTGAATTTTAACACGCTTTCTTATTAGATTATTTTAATTAGGCATAATAAAATGATTTGGGGAAAAAAAAGATCTGTTCAGCAAATTACCTGTCCGTTGAATGAATGTGGTACTGCGACGGTCTTCCTCTAAAAGGTCCTGTCTCTTTAATATTTAGATATGTGCAGCTGCTTTTCTGTCTTTATTGCTCGATGCCCCGATGTGTTTTTTTCCTAGCAGTTGCAGTGAAAGTTTGTGGAGCTGGGGTGTCAGTGAAGCGGTGTTACACAGCTCCGAGGGAGGGAGGGAAAGAGAGACAGAGAGAGAGGGAGACGGAGGGTTGCGCTGTCAGACTGATGGGAGTTAGCCCTGAAACGGATCGCTTTTGTGTCGAGACTATAGCAGAATCTGTACAGGCACAAACCTGGACCAATGACCTACCCCACGAAGAAGTAGATTGATTGTTTTTTCTCTTGGCTTCCCAGAATGACATTACCTCTCGCATTCATATAGTTTTTATTTTAAGCAATGTGCCTCATTCCGTCATGACTTTTGAATTTCGGTCACTGATATTTGGGATTGTAACGCTTCTTGCCTTCTTCCTTATCCTAGCAGACATCTCTGAAGTCGAAGAGGAAATCGGGTAAGTATGTTTAATACTGTATTTTTTTCATGTAACGCCTCACTGGGTGTTAAGGAGACGCCTTCAGATTTGCAAACCCTTGCGTGAGACCTCCACCAAGCCAAACCTAAAGTAGTTGTCTGACTTCACTGGGTTGCCGTTCATTTACTGAAACAGGTTTAAGCCCTTTAAGAAGGAGAACTTTATTCAAAATACTTCATACTTTGATCTGAAACATTGGAAAATATTTAAGCTTTACCATTTTCAACAGAGATGTTTGTATCAATTGGTAATCATTTTATTTTAGAAGGCGGTATTACTGTTGGTGTAACTATAACCTTTATCCCAGAACAGCATTCATCCATTATGAGCATGAGTTATTTCGCTCGGGTTGTTCTGTCGACGTTTTCCCCTTTCATATGAGAATGTTAAGAGCTCTTATTGAAAAGGGCTCCAGCCCTAAAGATGCTCGAACAGCCCAGCTCCCCGGCAGTGTGGAGTGAGTTGGCAGCAGGAAGTCCCGCAGTTACGGAAAGGAGACGCATCTGGGGAGCGCCGTTATCCCCGTGAAAGCGCTGTACATCGCTTCGAAAGGGATTTGGGCGTGTGAAGCAGGTGGTTTCGATGCAGCTTCAGCGATCTCTTGATACCACCCCTAGCTCATCTCAGTTATTACCTTCAGTTGCATGCGCTTGCTTTCAGAGCTTTTTAGATCCAACTGTTCCGGTCTCAGTTCTGTAATGGACTGTACCTCGCTTTCTGGGCGATTTAGTGCATTGGGTGTTTTGTGATTGACATAGTAAATATACCAGAGCGATCATCATCACTGCATTAAACGCGTCAGTTTTGTCAGCAGTTTTGAAATTACCGGTGCTTTGGCAGATGCTGTTTCTTTCCCGTTTTGTTTCGAGGTTCACCAGTTTGCCGGTGTTAAACCTGGATCTATTCCACTCCAAAATCTAATGGGGCAGGAATTAATTGTTCCAGGATCTTACCGTCTGGGTTGGAGGGTCTGTCGTCATTGCTGAAATAGACCAGTCTTTCTCAGTAGTCGATTTTTATTGTTTGTCATACTAAACTTAGCTGTTGGCACAATGCTTTCACACCCCTGCCCTTGGGATGGTGATGTAAGATGAGCTCCTGTCTCCATCACTGAGAGCCTAAAACACGAGTCACAGAGCAGCCTCATTCAATGTGAAAGATAAAAGTTTCCTCACCTCCTAGTTCGTTTCTAGCTGTCCTAGCTCTAGAAAACCAGCACAATGCATCTGGGGCTACTACTCTATCCTCAAGTGCTTCTGTTATGTCAGGTCAAAAAAATTGATCATGCTACAGTAGTTGTGGCAATAGCCTCAGTTCATACAGTAGCACCTCAACTGATGTGAGAAATGGTGCTTGGAAGGAGGAGATTGCTGACTTGATGCACATGGAGGATTTTAGCTTCATCGGAGCTCCAGGAATTTGCTGGGAATATACCTTGGAGCTCATACTCAGGGTTTGCCTTGCACACTGCACATTTCAAACCTTTGCTAAGCAATACCTGTGCATGGCGGAAAAATAAAAACGTGTTTGAAATGACCAGTGTTTACTTTGATTGATGCCTAACACTTGCCAGATGGTAAATGCTGAAACAGGTGACTTGCTTGATCTGAAGTATAGCAGTTCACAATGCGATGTGACAGGAGATGGGACCATTAGAGAGGGACTTGAAATTTTCTGTAAGTGATATCCATCATTTAGTAATGTATAACTATAGCATGTTGTAATGGAGAACAGGGGTATTCTCTCAATACTGGCCTGTTAAAACTTACTCTTAATGCACTGGTGCACACCAAAATGATTTAGCCGTCTGAAAAAGAGCATACACCTTTTGTTGTCAGCAAACAATTATTTTGTTTTTCAACGTGTACACTCAGCCTATTTAATTTTTCTTTGTGATCAACAGTTGAATATTTATAGAAGAAGTAACAGATAACATGAAAACAACGACACACTAGGAATGATAGGGAGCTCATGCACACAAAGTAAAAGTACATTTGCTGTTAACGGATGAATCAATGCTCTAGGCGAGGAAAGCAGACAGCAGATCTCAGGTCTCTAATGTAGGTGAACCTGTACCATTCAATCCGGCGCCATCTGTGTCTAATACTGTTGACCAGAGCACCCCTTTCAGAGCTGAAAACTTAAGGGTAACTACGCCCATAAACAGAATTAGCAACATAATGTGCCCATAACAGGTTTAGCTCAGAGTATGAGAACAATTTTTTTGGCAGTTAAGGTTTCCTTCGCATCGCATTAAAAACCTCTCTGTGAATCATCATTAAGTGGAAAGACAGGGATCATGTCTCTGCTCAGCTTGCACTCTAATAAATCAGACAGCACATTAGCTACTGTACGTGTTTCCGAAATGCGGCAATGACCGAACAGCCCCCAAAACATGGTAGGAAACTGGGTGCATGTATACTGCAGACATTACAAGAAATGTGATGGGATGATTCTCATGAAGAGCCCTCTGTAAGGTGGTACATGCGCTGTGAGCTCCATGTGGTATTACGAATGCCAGTTGTACAGTAAAGTCAGATTCTACTTGGTACTCAAGATGGTATCATTAACACAGTCTAAGGTCTTTACTGAGCCTTTGCAGAGTTTACTGCAGGAAAACTCTTAGGCTGGGTGGTAGCCTCCCACCCCCAAGCTATCTGAAAGCTAGATCACTGTTCTAGCTTGCACTATGTTTGTTGTTGGAACTAAACAGTATTCGTTCAAGTAGGGTTGTTCACACCCGAAGAAGGCTCCACGGCCGAAACGCTGTGTTTCTTTTCTTCTTTTTTTCCGGTTTATTCCATGCTGAAAGGAAAATAAAACACGCAAAGTTTCGGCTGTGGAGCCTTCTACCGGTGTTGTGTCTCTTTCCTCTACCTTTCAGCGTGGAATAAACCTTTACTTGTGTCTTTGCAGCCTGTCATGCTGACGCAGCTCCCTACTTGCATTTCTATCCACGATGCTGTCCGAGGAAGAGCTTTGTGATGCAAACGCTTTACTATTGTCTTTTGAATCAAGTCATCTTTTGTTCTTTTTGCTGTTCAGGTGTTGTTTATTATCTTGCACTCATTGAGGCAATCCGTATTTTTTAGCTTTGGAAATTAAGTGGCTTCCATTCTCTTTTTATTATTTTGAAATAATATTTTTCAGCAACTTTCGCAAAAGCAAGCGAGGAAGAGACGCGGTATTTGTCACCTTATGACTCTGATGTAAGCAAATCCTTCGTTTGTTTCTACATCGAATACGCGCATAGCTCTGAAGAGTCCGAAACCCTACAGAGATGAATGCACGAGATTTTCCTTCGAAAATTGTGATGATGTGCTATTTGTACAGGTGGTTTATTCTTTTCATCTACAAAAACACATTGGTTAATTAACGCAATCGCGAGTCTTCAACAATTTCACGATTTGTCGTTCATTACTTCATTTTTTTAAATCAGCCTTGACTAGATGCAAATGCGTGAGATGTTCAGGCCAAGGTCTGATCTGTTCCCAATGCGACTTGAGACTTGAGAGCTATGCAATTGCATAACTGCTTCATGGAAAATGATCTTGCGGCGTATCTCTACTACACTTGCGTACATTTTGGCGGCGTTCACTCATTCGTATACTACGGGAAACCTGCACTACTGTGGTAGAAACACAGCCCTTTTTACAAGGCAATATAGCGGCAGAGCGAAGGCACTTCGTTTTGAAGCACCAGAGTTCCCAGTGTTTGATAATCTGTTACCGAACTTTACTAACCGGAGGCAGTCCAGAAGACAGTCGAGATCCCTTATACTAGTATAATTACCACAGTAGGAAACAGTTGGTGACATCATCATAATTATAAATGTCACTCAGATGCCATAGGGACTTGAGCCAGAGAGGTTCAGCAAGCTTGATAAAAAGTTTTTTACACCTTAGCCACTGGACCACTTGTTCAGGACGCTGAATATGCAAAGATTTGAGCAAGCTTTCTGCAGTCCACACAACGCCATTCAGTGGCTAACTGTTGTAAGTATTACATGTCCAACAAAGGAGCGTGTCTCACATCTATCCTTTCCTTTAAGAGCAAGAGCTACTTAGGTAGAGAGGGATAAATCAGTGCAATCCTTTACATCTGAAAGCTTGCTAAAACAGAGGACAGGCACTCCACAGCCTGCTGTTGAACAGCAAGTGTAGGGTGGTGTTTATTCTTCACTCTGGGGTGTTGTGTTTGTTCATCAGCTCAGCTCTTCTCTCCGAAGGTGTCTGTGAGGGGAGGAAGGGGGGGCATCTTTGATCTGTGGCTTTAAATAAAGCGTAGCTCAGAGGCAGTAGGTAGCCATGGGTTACTGAAGACACCTTCCAGCTCTGTAGTTAAAATTCTTCCTCTTCCCCACAAAAAAATAGACAGTAGCAGCAGCAGCTGTACAAAGACCTTCTCTGACAAAATCAAACAGCAAAAATGAAAAAAATGCCTTAAAAAAATGAGAAAAAATCTACTGACATCTCAGAGCTGACAAAAGAACATTACTTTGAAGAAAGAATAGGGATTAGAATGGGTGAAAAAAACAATATAGAAAAGGCACATAGATCTTTATATCACCATGAAAAGCTAAAAAAACCACTTGGCAAATTGAATCGTGTCTTAACAGCTGAAGGACTCTATGAATATTTAACATTTCAATTGTCAGGCTTCGTGAGGTTGTATTTCATGTATCTTTATATGTGATAAAATGATATAGGGAATACAATCTATACTTTAGTGGAACTGAATATTTATTTTAGTCTTAGTTGATATTATTACATAAAATCCTAATAGTTAATTTAATGGCATTGCCACAGGTACATTGTGAAAATGACATTACACCGTGATGAAGGCAAGATTAGCCATAAATCACTGGTAGATTTGAAGAAATGTTTTTGAGAACATGTGACTTTTGAAATCCAAATCTTTTTAATTTGGATCTCTAGATACACCTCCTGAATAAATACAGTTGTTTTTTTCACAGTGCCGTGAAATTTTGGGGATTAGAGTGAAATAAACCTAATTAGAGGATTGGCTGAAAGTCCCCGATCTTAATTCAGGTTTACTACCACATTGTTTGAACTGTTTCAGTGACCTTAGCCTGAGCAGCTATGATTAAGCCTCACTGTGATTTCAGTTTTCTTATGTGATTTTTTCTAAACTTGTAATGCCTTTTATATAATGCTGTAGCCAATTTAACTTCACTTGGCATCCAAACACCACTTTGTTGTGGGACATTCTTCATCAGAGGAGCAGGACACAGTCTTGTGCAGATTCAGTTTTATTGAGCTCAATAAGAACAGCAATGTGCGCTGGGTCTGCCCTGCAGAACAGACAAACTGCAAGGGTTTCCCAGCTCTTATATATAGTACGGACTGAGAAACAAAAGTTACTACAGTACTTCACACTTTAACCTGACAGTTGACGTGACACTTTTAACGTTTTCCTTGTTTATGGCTTCCTCTGTTTATTTTCCTCCTTTAAAACTTGCAGCAGGGAATTTATTGTTGCAGCTGTTGGTACAGGTCACCTTTGTTTGCTGTATTTTGAGATTTTGGCCTAAGTTACCAGATCTAAGCAATCATTCTAATGACTTCTACAATATGGTTCAGTGCTAACATTGTAGTGCTGGATAGATGCAATATAGATATAGATCCTACTTCAACTGATCATTTCTAGGAGGAGATGGGTGTTGTTCAGTTTTTCTTTTTATATGGTAGCACATTTAAGGAACCTGGGGGAAAGGAACAGATGCGTATTATAGTTACGTAGTTCTACACAGACCTCCACTGTCCCTGGAGTTGTGATATTTTTAGATCTTTTACTGTTCACTGTGACAAGATAAATGTTCATCTAAAAACATCTGCATATGTTGTTTGCTGGTGTGCGTTAAATATATATCACATATGCAAAGAATATTATATATGCTATCTACTTAAACTACATGTGTTTGAAATCACATCATCAATCGTAATACTTTTCAAACAACATCACAAACACAGTAGAAATATAATAAGGATAAATAGCAATTTCCTGCACTTACATGGCACTTTTCGTCCTTAAGGAACCTTAAGAGCTTCACCTAAAGGAGAAGACCCCCTCATCCACGACTGAAGTCAAGCACACACCTGGCTGATGCAAAATAGCCATTATGTGCCAGCAGCACCACCACACAGAACTTAAGGTGGAGGAGTACAAAGTTGCTTCACCAGTTATAGTAAGGTGGAATTATAGGGAATCCAGAATGCACAGTCCCAAAGTGGAATATAGCCTGGACAGTAGGTTTAACAACACCTTAGGAGCATTAATGACTAAGTTCTCAGAATCTTAGGATCCAACTAACAGCAAAACCCTCTAGCACATTGTCCACAGTCTCCATGTTAGGGAACAGAAAATTGGAAAATCTGGTACAGAGGGAAGAGTGTCACTTACATAATGATATTTCTGAGTAATGAGAAATAAGCACTTATGGTATGATTTTCAGAAGACACGGCGAAAGAACTTGGTCACAAAGCACCTTCTAAAAATGTGTTTTCAGTCATTAACTGCATAATCTTCTGAGGGCTTATAACAATGTGCCACTATCAGTTTGTCGTAGCATAAATCAATCGAATACATTCCGTTACATAAATCAGGCTTTAAACATCAATTTGCAACCTACAGTAGTTCTTAATTTTGCCTATTGTGAAACTTATTTGCTTTCTTTGAGATGGGACTCCCTTTACAAGTGTTCCTCAGGCTTTGTAATGAGCCAAACAAGCAGCAAAGTTAACACAAGGCACACAGCAGGTTGATCTGCACTACCAGTAGGAGCATATTTGTTCTCATACTTTTTGATTTTCCCAGAGCTTTTTTTCCAAGCCCACAACCAAATTAAAATTCTGTTTTGTCAATTAAGATTCCCTTAGTATGTTTTTTCTTAATGGCATACCTGCTTCCTTACTGTGTATAAATATATTGCGCTCATTATTTATGTTTTGTTACAGGAATCATGAGGGTGCTTGGAAATTATCCTTCCACAGTTCTGAGAGTCAATCCAGCAGGTTAGTTGGCTATTTCAAGCTTGTTTGTGTATTAACAGTATCTCATTACTTTCACAGTCATATTTTCTGCAGACTTTTTTTCCCTTCGGCTGCGTCAAACAATTATTTCATTTAATCTTTCAGGACCCCCTGTGAGCTCACATTTAGTGATGTTTGAAATTACACTGGGTATTGTGCATTTTTAGCAGAATGTCATGGAATTCTTATTAAGTGCTATTCTGGATTTGACCCTAGGCAAAAAAGTCTCTAATAGAAACTAATTAGTCTGTCGGTTTCCATAGAAACATTAGAAACCTCTAAGGTCTGAAATGATGTCTGATTTATCAAATGATGCCTATCTAATTAAAATAAATCATTAAACGCTTATATATAAAAACATCACTGTATTCCGTGGAGATTTCAGTACATCAGCTCTGCCTGTGGAACCCACAGAGGAAAAAAAAAACATTTTTGGTAATGTATGAGAAAAGAAAGTCATGTTTTTTATCAAATAGGACACTGTTTCCTTGTCATACCTTATCGGTCACGTAACTGATAAGTGAGTATTAATTTGATCTAATTTCTGAGAATGTTAAGGATTCAATAGATTTTCTGAAGAAGAGTTTGCCTGCGCATCAGCCTCCTCCTTAATCCTTTCATGCTCACTCATAGAGTTAGGAATGAGGGAAAAAAATAACGGCAGACTTCATCTGAGACTTCACCAAGTAAACATTGAGACAGTAAGGATTTCAGATTTTCCTGCGTAAGAAAGTGACACCTGATGTCTGAAGGGCCCAGTGGAGCAGGCAGACAAGAGGTTAAGATTCTGCTGGTTAGCATTGACTTCAGTGAAGTCAAGCTTGGCATTCCAGAGCGACTGCTTTGTTCAGAGAGTTTCCATTATGCTTTCCATTTACTCGAGAAGCCCACATGAGTTTTGGCTGTGTCGTTGTGTCAGTTCCTTTGACCCTACTCATTCATTCCATTACCATTCAAATAAAAGCTCAATTATGTACTTAAGTCAGAGGTATAACATCTGCCCAAACCGATCAGATAGCCTCGACTCATATCCAGGACTGGTGATATCCAAGAGAGAATCCTACTGAGATGTTTCCCCCGGTATTTGTAGATCAAGCTCCTTGGTGTGTGAAGCTCATGTCCTGTGAAAATGGCTGTAGATCACTTTGTTCTCGTGGAGAATGGGCGCTGATGCCTTTTCCTGTTATTTCTCCATGAATGTAGAAATGGAGCTACAGAACCAGGGCCTACTCTTCCAGCTGTGGTTGGGGATCTCGGAAGAGGCATCAACAACAGCATTGAGTCTCCATCTTCTGATTGGAGATTCAACAGAAGCCTTTCAAACATTATCAGGTACAGAGACTGATTAATTACAGAACATGTCTATGGCTGGAATATAACAATCATTGGAGAAAGGTTTTGTTTCATGCATTCTTCTTCTGCTGTGCTAAATTCTTTGAATGTGTGTAATCTGAAATACATACTCAGGAAAGCCAATGGATGAAACTGAATTTATCCTTCAAACACCCAAGATTACAGAACTTTGTATTTTTACCCTCTATATTGCTTGTTTCAGCAAACGATTGAAACAAGCACCAAAGCAATTGATTAGAGTAATTTTTCAGCTTTCTTTGAACCAAAGCAAAGTTCTCTTATTTCTTTTATAAAAGTAATTTCAATCTAACACTGAAAAGCTTTAGAATAGGATAGTTTTTCTTGCTCCATTACCAGGTCACTGTTAACTTGTAATTCCAAAAAACTAGAAGCAGATTTTGGCAATTATGTTGATTTGTGTGCTTGGTTTGCTTTTGCTTTTCTTTAAAGAAAGAGCATCTTGAAATTTCTGGATGCAGAAAAGGATATTTCAGTGCTGAAAGGCAATCTGAAGCCTGGAGATACGATCCATTATATATTTGACCGAGAGAGCACTATGAATGTCTCTGAGACCCTGTACCAGCTCATCCCAAAAGTGTCCCCAATGAAGAAGCAGCACTACAGGCAGTGCGCTATTGTGGGCAATTCTGGAATCTTGCTGAAGAGCCGCTGTGGAGCTGAGATTGACTCCCATGACTTTGTCATCAGGTAAACTCGACCTGTTTTGTGTGGCATGTTGGAAATCTTTTTTTTTGATTAATCAGACTACAGTTCTCCTAGAGCATAAAAGCATTCACCTCTGGGTATCCCTGGTATTCAGTCTGATCTTTTGCCTCAAATGACTTGAAATGAACAATGTCTGTCTTTTTAAAATGCTCTTCTGAAACATAAAATGATCATAGTTTATAAAATAATTTGTAGAATATTATGAAATAATAATATAGAAAAATAATTTGTTCCCTTGAATAAGAGCGAAGAAAGGCACTGTAAATAAGGCACTCGCTATTGAAGACAGTAAATCTTTCCTACTGGGACTGTGCCTTTCCACATGGGCTGTAATGCTCCCCTCTGTCCTGGAGGGACTTATGTTGCAGTTCTGCTGATACTTCTATGTTTTGTATCGTTGCTCCACTGTCTGTCTCTCTCTGGTAGACCTATCCCTTCAGATCAATGTGTTAACCTGCCTGTCACACATCCGTGCTGTTGGCACGTTCACACTGAGCAGGCTGGGAAACCTCTGCCAGATGCACTTAGTGCACAAAGTAGCAGCTTAGGGTGTGCGTTCTGCTGGGAGAAGGAGGGTGGGCGCTGAGAATGGAAGTGCGATACGGAGCGCCAAGGGATTTGGAAATACATTAGGGCAAAAGCTTTCTCTTCTCTCTCTTAGACGGTATTTACATTCACTGCTGGAGCCTCCACCCCTCCGCTGCACTGATGGCTGTAGATCTGTAGAGTGGAATCGCAGCATAGATTCAGCTTTTGATGGGTTACCAGCGGGAAAGAAAAAGAAACTTAACTGCACAGATCCTCTGTGGCTGGTCCTCTGATTTTAGAGCTTCAGTCATAACGAGATGGATACAGCAAGCCCAATCTGTGCAATGAATGCCGTTACTTTTGTGTTTTAAGGTTTCCCTTGTCCGAAGAGTGTGGCAGAATTGTACTTAGGTGTCTGTTGTTTTTTCTAAGCAGAGTCAGTTCCAGCTAGAGATATACATATTGACTACACTTACTGTACCCCTTGAAATGAGGTTATGCTCTAATGTATTAAGCGTAGTAATTACTGTTTGTTAAGTAGCTAAGTTACCCAAGTGAATTAGCTACTTTGTGTACTCAAGCCTGCAATTGCAGATAAAGTGCTGGTTTGATCAAACTCCTGCAATGAAATAGAAGCCTCAAGCATTGCTTTCCCTGTTCTAGAGAGTAAGCAGACTATAGCAAAAAGGGGGTGAATGGCTGTCTGTATAGGATTTTTTCTAGGCCTTGATGTTAATGGTCAGTGCTGATACAGGGCCTCTGGCTGCTGCCGTCTCAGGTGTAACCTGGCTCCAGTGGAGGAGTACCGTGCCGACGTGGGCCGGCGGACCAGCCTGGTCACCATGAACCCCTCGGTTGTGCAGCGCGCCTTCCAGGACCTGGCCAGCTCGCACTGGAGGGAGCGCTTCCTGGAGCGCCTGAGCTCGCTCAACGGCAGCGTGCTCTGGATCCCCTCCTTCATGGCCAAAGGGGGCGAGGAGCGCGTGCAATGGGCCAGCGAGCTCATTCTCAGGCACGGCATCAACGTGCGCACGGCCTTCCCCTCGCTGAGGCTACTGCACGCTGTCAGAGGGTAAGGAGGCCCTCCTGGGCAGTAAGATAGGCCGCAAACACTGGATCCATTCCAGCTGTTTCTTCGAATCAGTCGGGGTTCAGCTTCGGCAGCATGACTGAGTAGCTTGTTCCCTAACCCCATGACCCTTTGTGTGAAAAGTGCCTCTTTCCTCGGTTTTTAATGCCCTTCCACTTGGTGTGCATTGAGACAAAATCTAAAAAGACGACTGGTTGGGATGAACCCAGATCTGCGACAAGACTCCCTGCTCCCTGGATGTTATTGTCTTAAGGCAGTGGGTCCCAGTCCTGGTCCCGGTGACCCCCACAGCTGCAGGTTTTTCCAGTCGAGCCCTCAGTTACACCATCAAAACCTTCATTGACTGAATAACAGGATTAATGTGAACTGTTTGTTCCCAGATCCTGAACATGTCGGAGTTTTAACCATTGCATTTTGTAAGTGAAATAAAATCCCTGATTTGGGATTAGAAACAAAATACAAATATTCCAACGAAGCAACTTCTTGGATCAATTAAGGCTTCAAGTATCTAATGAAAGTAGAAAGAAATGAAAACCCCCAGGATTGGACACCACTGCCTTAAAGGAATTGGGAAAAAACACTATTTTAATTTTTTAAGCTGAACTCAGATGTACACTGAATATGCTGTAAAAAAGTTCTTGATTTGCATTAGGTAAATTGAAAATGAGTTCTTGTCTGCCATGGTTTCGCTTGACATCATTCACCATGGAAATGATATGTTTAAAACTGTGGCAGACCAGTAGATAAAGTGACTGCAGTGTAACAGATAATCAGCCACTACATGCTTCCAAAAGGCCTCTATTGTAAATAGGCTCATAGGGTGTTAGCTTGTTAATGATGCGAATGCTGAAGGATTGGTGTCCCCATTCCCAGATGGGGTTTAATTATTGGTGTGTTATAAAAACGGCTTGCACATTGGCAGGGTTTGGTAGCAGTCATGGAAGTCCTATACTGTAGGTCTTACAAAATAAGGATAAAGCAAGGTCTGTCATGCTCATCTTACATGAAAAGACTCCAGAACTAAAAATTACAGTAATTTCAAGGGACTTTCAGTATTACTGAGGCTGTGAGGTGTCCCACTAGATCGGTACACCAGTGTCTGTAGTAAATTTATAGGTAATGTACAATCCTAAAAGAGTCAAACAAAGTGGAAGCAGTGTTAATACAATACAATTAAGTGATCGACTGATTCACATAAGTCAAGTTCAGGATATGATAAAAGCCAGAAGACATGATGGTTCTCCAGGAACAGGAGTGAATAAGAATGCAGTACACTGTCCGCTCTCTGCTAGTAATGGGAATTTTTGTGGCTTTTGGTCATGGAACTATGAATGAATTAATTAATTAATTGCTTACACTTATATAGCGCTTTTCTGGACACTCCACTAATGGGGACTCCCCTCCACCACCACCAATGTGCAGCATCCACCTGGATGATGCGACAGTACCCATAGTGCGCCAGAACGCTCACCACACACCAGCTATTAGTGGGGAGGAGAGCAGAGTTATGAATCCAATTCATAGATGGGGATTATTAGGAGGCCCTGATTGGTAAGGGCCAATGGGAAATTTGGCCAAGACACCGGGGTTACACCCCTATTCTTTTTGAGAAACACCCTGGGATTTTTAATGACCACAGAGAGTCAGGACCTAGGTTTTACGTTTCATCCGAAAGACGGCGCCTGTTTACAGTATAGTGTCCCTGTCACTATACTGGGGCATTAGGACCCACACTGACTGCAGGGTGAGCGCCCCCTGCTGGCCCCACTAACACCTTTTCCAGCAGCAACCTTAGTTTTTCCCAGGAGGTCTCCCATCCAGGTACTGGCCAGGCTCACACCTGCTGAGCTCCAGTGGGCTGCCAGTTGTGAGTTGCAGAGTGATATGGCTGCTGGCTAAGGTTCTATTAATGTCTGCATAATCTGTTGCCTAATTTGAAATGGCACCTACAGGGCTTGTAGGTAGAGCAGGAGTTCAGTAATTAAACACATTTCTGTTTCCACATTTCGGTCTTCTGATTGCAGTGTTTGTACAGACGGTTCAGGGGGCAAGGGAGGGCAAGTGGATTTGAGCAACTCTTCTTGCCTGTGATTGTGCTGTGGTTGAGAATGGGAACCTTTGTGATAGAGCATGTGCTGAGATCCCGTTACATCCGACTACACTTTGTTATTTAGGGCACCTCATTTCTGCCAGTTTCCCTTGGGGATGTTACATAGCGAGAATGCGCCAAGCGATTGGGATACTGGAGTGCTGTCGTCACTGCAGGGCTGCTTTCGCTGGCAGGCAAGGAGGTTGTGCAGTTTAGTCCAGGAATGAGACAGTTGAAGATGAGCCTTTTTTTATTTTGAACAGCAAATATGATGAGGATTAGGTGGACTGGAGCTTAGAAGAATGTGATATTGGTGGACATTAGCAGGCAGCAGCATGGTTAGGGCTCTGGACGAAGGACTGTAAGGTTGTGGTTCAACTCACAGGTGGCTCTGCCACATCCTCAGTGTGTTCACCGAAAGCCCTTTGGTGAATAGTTAATGATTGTATTATTCTTTTATTTTACTAGGTAAGTCATTCTGTTTGGGAAATTCAGAGATTAATGACATATTTGTCCCAGCAATGATACCAAGCAAAAGGTCAACAAATGATTAAGAAAACAAGCAAACTAAGAGGTTTCATAATTTCCAAAACAGAATGTCCTGTGATACATCTTCATAAACTTGAGGTTTTTTTGCCGTTTATTTAAAGACCTCGTTTGTATGCTGCAAAGGAAGTTATATTCTGCTGGCATCTTAAAAATACATTGCAAAAATAAGAATAATCAAAATAAGGACAGCTAAAAGGTCATTTTGCTTTTGAGTCCTCATGTTATATTATTTACATTTTCTTTACAGGTACTGGCTAACAAATAAAGTTCCCATTAAAAGGCCCACAACCGGTCTTCTGATGTACACACTGGCCACGCGCTTCTGCGAGGAGATCCATCTGTACGGATTCTGGCCCTTCTCTCTGGGCCCCAATGGGCTCCCAGTGAAGTATCACTACTACGACAGCCTGACTTACGAATACAGGGCCCAGTCCAGCCCCCACTCCATGCCTGTGGAATTCAGAGCCTTGAAGAGACTGCACAGCCAGGGCGCGCTGAAGCTGCACACTGGGGAATGTAACGCAAGATCATAGCGTCAGCACGAAGCGGGATGAGAATTCCATAAATAACACCTGAAACTAAGCTGGGAAAGGGCACCTTGCCAGGGGTGTGTACATAAACGTATACCTGGCGTGTACCACCAACGGAGGAAGAAATACAATAAAGAACGGAACCACTATGTGCGAACAGCACAAGCATTTTGCAAGATCATTCAGAAAGGAGCATTCATACTTAGTACAAACCCAGGCGCTGTAGTTGTGTTATTTTTCTCAACCAGCAGAGCTGCCTGAATGTTGGGAGAGGTTTTGCATGAGTATAAGGAATATGAATTAAGGAATAAGGCTCAGGCCCTTTTCAGTCCAACTTTATAACTAATTCCCACCACCTGGGCAAGAATGGACTGGACAAGTGTGGCCCCACCTTAGGTCAAGGACTATTTCCTGCAGCGTTTGCCTGGCATGACTTGCAACAGGGAGCAGGCTGCAGTCATTGGAAGGAAGGCAGATTTGATTCTCTATAGATTTGTTTTAATGATTTTTTCTCTTATAATTATTTATTCAGGCGGTATTGTTTAAAAGAAACAAACCGAACCAGTGTCTCCTCTTCTGTTTGCCCAACGAGCTAGAGCTGAAAATGAATCTTTTGGACTTGAAAAGCAGGACAGGCAGCTTGAGTGGGAGCACGTAGAAGGGTTCTGCACACCTGTTCCCATTTCCCTAATTGACCATGGGCAGACTACCCACGCATTGTTTGTCTCTGTTCTTGCAGTGCTACTCAACTTAATAAATGCACTCGAGCAACCTACTGACAGGGCATCATTTTATTCTGGGAAATAATTTGGAGCACCTGTGTTCTAAGGAAAGTGCTAAAGAAAAGAACAAACGATCTTGAGTGTCAGGGAATCATAAAATCAGGTGAGCAGCTCCGGCATTTCGCATTTACATCAATGACAAAAATAAGAGGTTTGATTTGATAAGCCAGGGAGAGAACTGAAATGTATTGATAATTAAAGAGGAACTGCAATGCCATTTTTATATCTCGGAGGGTTCGAAAGAATCGGCATTGATGAGTGCAAAGTGATGAGTGAAGGTAAAACATACACAGTGACATGTAAAAGCTCCAATTTACATCACAAAATAGATCAAATTTCCAGGTGTGTGCAGCGACATATTCTGTGATTCAGAATGCGGCAACAAGACTTCAGGTGAGATGAAGCGGCCCTATTACACTGTAAACAAGCAGGCTTGTGAATCCACTGCTTTTAATCTAATAGAAATATTGCTCTCGACTTTGAGCTGTTTTTGTCGACAAATACTACTTGCTTATTAACTCTGCATGCAGATCATGTTTGAACATTTCTGTGGTGAAATGTCACAACCTGCACAACCTGTGCTTATTCGCTCGTACATTGTAGTACATGTGTCATTTGTAGTGACTAGTGAGTAGGAAGGGCTGCTTAATGTCGCAATTAGTGGGAACTCTTGCTCTCACCCATGGCAAGACCAGGGGTTTGCGACAACATGATGACTTACAGTACTTTTACAAACTAAGTTGTGCTTAGTTCAGAATTTGTCAACTTTTTCTGTATCATCAAAGAATTTGTTACCAAGATTTAATAACTGGTCGGAGACACTGGGACTGCAGTTCCCCTTTAATGTACTTTGGAATTGAGCTTGGCAGATTATTAAGGTTATGTAATATGTAGCAAGGTAATGTTTTCTGGAGCATATATGCAGTCATATGGCACAAAAAGATGTTTTGTTTTTTTCCAGTCTGTTTCTTCTTACTAATATAAATGTAGTAAAATGTACTGGAGCATCTATGTTCATTCCCTTTGGAAATAAAATGTACCACATAAAATGTATCACACAGTAGCCTGGTATTCCTGTCTATCAAGTTATCTTTCATGTCTTCAGTTTCTAACATGAAAACGTGCAGTATTCAGCCTCCCAACCAGAGCTTGGCTGAGCCCGGGTTTGAGCCTAGGACATATCACTAGCTGATTGTAACCAGGATTCCTGCAATTTTAGCACAATTGTTCATGCACTGCAGAGTGTAGGGTGTGATTTGTGGGCCAGAGCTTTCTGGATCACAGCAACCCCTGTGCCCATCCTTGACTTGCAGTCTTGTGGTGCTGTTGGTGAGAGGAGTCCGATTCTCGCCCATGTGTGCTTGTGGGCTTGGCAGTAGCAAGCTGAGACATGAAAAACTATTGGTGATTCTAAATCAGGTGGGTATAACAAAAATAATTATTCTATTTTGTTAAATATCCCATATTCTACCTCCTTTTTCAGGCAATTTCTATTGTCCTTTTCTCACTTGCAGAGCACACTCTTATCCAGAAGATGGCAGTGCTCGAACAAAACAGAGCAGTCTTGAGCTCAGCTAACTACTTGTTCCATACATTTTGCTCATATTGTGGTCAAAACTGCATTGATTTTATTACTTTTTTAAGAGAATATTTCCAGCATAATTGGTCCCTTTAGAAAGTACTGCTGCAATCCTCCAGCTGTTGATTAAGAACAGTTTACACACCCTGCCATATTAAACAAAACACCTTAAACACAGCAGAAACAGTCCCATTTTCCCCAAAAGCATGCGTACTAGTCTTCTTCATGACCATCTGCTTCAGACCCTGCATGATACATATGCTCAGCTAGAAGTTGCTGCTGTGTTTGTGTCTGCTTCATTTCTTTCCTACTTTCCATTCTTACCAATCTGATTTTCTCAGCTGCTGCCCAGATATGCCGTGTTTCCTGAAGCTGGTGAATGTGCATTGTAGAGAGGATATCCCTCTTAATCTGTTGTTTCAGTCCTGCCTAAGAGGTCTCAGTGGACTTGGCTGAGCTATTTCACCCCACCACACCTCACTACACAGTGTGTGTACAGACTTTTCTTGGCTAATTGACAACTTTTTATTTGTTTTAATTGGTTTGCAGTTTAATTAACATCTGGTGATATTTTAATAATTGTCTCTTCTTGGCTCCCGAATTACCAGTGTTTGGTTATTCATACAGTGAGATAGCGGGGTCACAAGAGACAGTCAGTTTTTCCTCATTACAGGACTCCAGCTCAAAAGTGTATGAGAGCTTTCACTGCAATAAAATAAGGAGCCCAAAAAGCTCAGTGTTGTTTTCTTTTCTGAAAATATAACACAGTTAGGCTTTTCTGACAACCTTCTGTTATATGAGTAATCTTTCACGGTGCCTACAGGCATTTGCCCTACTTATGTAAAATGGCAAATTCATTTCACAGTTTTAGTCTTATAAAGGCAAGATAAGTTTAAGGTGAGACTCATGGAAAGATGTGCTCTTCGCTTGCTTGCAAAGCATTATAATTTGCATATAGCTAGGAGTGGCTCTGTCAATTCAAGAACAATAACGTGTTTGTCATGGGGTGATAAAGACAAATACTGGAAACACCCAGACATAGAAAGCCATATGCAAAGAAATAGCCAAAAACATCTCCGTTGTTAACAGATCCTGTCCACGGTCTTTTATTAAGCCTTGGATACAAAACTAGAAGAGACATGCAAAAGGCTTGTATTTGTATGTGTTATATGGCTTGTTAATGCTGTTAAGAAATTATTCAAATATATGGTCAGTGTTGTACCGATAGGCTTTGGCTCCCCTGCGACCCTGAATTGGATGAAGTGGTTAGAAAATAGATGGATGTACACGTGTACTGTATGCACAGTAAATACAGTATGTATGTGGAGTGCGTACTGCACATAAAAACAACAAACAAGAGTAGGCCGTTCAGCCCAACTAGGCTTTTTGCTAGTTACTAGCTAATTGATCTAAGTATCTCATTCAGTCTTTTCTTGAAACAAGCCAAGGTATTGGCTTCAACTACATTGCTGGGAAGATTTGTGTAAGGAACTGCCTTCTGTTCTTGTTTTTAAATGCTCACAAATACACACATAAAGCACATTGCAATGCAGCCATACTGTACCTGTCATTATGTCTGTGTATTTATTTTTAGTATTGTATAGAACTTAATTTTGATTTGTGTTCTAATGACCTAAGAATTGATTCAATATTAAGCTAACCTGGTGATTGCCGTGGACGACGTCCTGATGTTGCCCAGTGAAATGTTTTCAGAAAGGAAAAGAATGGTTCTTCATAAATAGAATCCTCTGGTTTTCTGGTCATTAAAGAACATTCTTTGTCTTGTTCATTTTAAAAGAATCATTTTGTTTCTTAAAAGAATATGTTGAATCTCATTCTTTATCTTATTAAAGCACAATCAAAAACTGTTATTCAGTTGCTTTACGCTGTTTTAAAATTATGATTATGTTTTAACCAATACATAGGCCTGCTCCTAAACATTGACTCTTAGTCCTTAGTATATTAATAATGGGGTAGTTATGAATACTTACCCTAAAGATACCATATTTGTGCATTGAAAAAATATGTGATTAACATGCATTAGAGCAAAAATGTCAGACCTTCACTAAACACACCAGGAGACTGTATTAAATATCAACATGTGGAGCACCAAACCATGTGATGTTATTTTCACAGTGGCTTTTATACCTTTGTGTGTTGTTCTAATGCTCTCAGTTTTGGTTAAAAATAGCGAATGGACTGACTGCTGGCGTCAAGAAGCTGTCCTGAATAATTAGTGGGTTATCTTTAAATGTGAGTCTGTGTGTTAGTTAAAAATAGAAACTCATTGTGACCAAGATTGCTAAACCACATTAAGCCCCCAAAAAAACCCATTGAGGTTACAGCTCAGAGACGAGCCCTACTTAGGAAGCAAGATATTCCTGCTGTCAGAATGTTTTAATATGCTAAGAGTTTTGTAAAAAAAATATGATTATGCGGTGGCACGGCAGTCAGTGCTGTGATCTTGCAACTCTTAAAGGGAAATTTTCTCACCGAGGGCCAATTTTCCCAGAAGGCGTTTAACCCGCCTGTCTGTTTGTCTTTGGAAACCAGAGCAAATAGAGAAAACCCATGCGAACAGGGGAAGAACATGCAAACTCCACACAGCTATATACCATGCCTTTTATATATAGGACTATAAGCTATGTGTGTCCTTATATAGCTTATATATATATATACCTATACTATATAAAAGCATTCTAGCACCCCATATCTGGAATTGAACCCAGGACCACTGTAAAACAGCTCAGCTAACCACTGCCCCACCACACAATATAACCAATCTACACACTAAGAATAAAATAAACAGCATGAAATATATAGCAACAAAAACCATATAACAACGTTTCACACAAACATCACAGGACCACAGTTACCGAGCTGCACCTGCAGAAATTCTCCTCAGCTCCCAAGTCCTTAATGGTGTCTTCCATCATTTTCACATGACTTCTCCGCCTGGAATCCTGCTCTTAGCTTTCAGCTGAAACGGTGTCTCGTTATGAACTGTTACAAATTACTGTGTGACTGTAATGTCATTTGCAGAAATAAATGTCAAAGGTTATGCATGCTGTTATATCTCTGTGCCGTATTTGGGAAGATGTTATGACAGTTTTTTTAGCCTCATTAAAATAAATCACAACTAAAATATCTTTTTTTAGATCTTTGCTCAAAAGTGACATTAATATCATAAGAAAGGCATATAGAATTCAGGGCAGTATTTTCATTGCAATTTACTCCTGCCCTTGCCGTAAGGGATGGATGTAGGCAGGTCATCTTTCTAAAGCTTTTTTGGCACTATTAATTATTGGGCAACAACTTATCCCTGCAAAGATTCCCCAGGCACCACATCCTGAAATATGTTATACCTTCAGGATAAAAAGAGGGTTAACCTGGGAAAAATCTGTTGGCCTAACAGACTTATTTAGTGAAATGGATCTTGTATTGTTGGAAAGTGCCCAAAATGTCAATCGCCCCCACTAGTCTGGGGATTCTGGGTTTCAGTCACACAGTCTCCTGCATAGAAAAATAAGAGATTTGTGATCCACTGATTGGAACAAACCATGCAATCCAGCAATGAGACCTTAGATGATGGCACAATTACTACAGAAAATGAGAGAGAGCAGGCATCGCTGGCTGACTTGCACTCCAACCACTAGTAAACCATTCAGAGCACAACCCTTTCTTCATCACCAAATTATTGTACAGAAATTCGGACTTTACACCTTTATGACCACCACTATATTAACTGAATATAGTTAAAAATAACTATATACAGCAATGTTTTTATTTTGTTTTTGACTATTTGTTAGGAATAGTAGTACTATTCTGTAAATGTATTTAAACATATTGAGTACAGGCAGTTTAAGGAGAAGAAAGTTAACTAAAGTTTCGATTGCACATCCATCCAGT